TACTTCCAGTGTTTCCTTGTCAGCCAGTGTGCTGCTTTACCAACTTTTTAATGATCTTCAACAATATTTTGCTTGCATGAGATATTAATCATAGTTTCCACATTTTGTTGGATCACCTTTCCTGGGAATGGGGATAGATATAATTCTCTTTCAATCAGTTGGCATAAACTGGTGAGCACATCCAGGGCTGCATCTGTTAGTTGAAACATGTCAACTGGTGTTCCATAAATTCCTGGGGCCTTTTTTTTTTTTGCCAATGCCTTCGGTGCTGCTTGAACTTCTTCCATTACTATTGGATCTTGTTAGGTTTCTTCCCAGGTATTTCATTCCATGGTTGGCTGTAGTAAATGGTTTTGCTTTCTTAGTTTTCTTTCCTGTGCTTTCTTTGTTGCTATAGAGAAAGCCCACTTATTTTTGTATATTGATCCTATATCCCACTCCTCTACTAAATTGGTCTGCTAGGTCTAAGCGGTTTTTCTTGAATCTTTGGGGTTTTCTGTGTACACCATCAAATTGTGCAGATAGTGATAGTTTCACCACCCCTTTGCCAATTTGGATGCCTCTTTTTTATTTTTCTTGTCTTATTATCCTAGCAGGCACTTCCAATACAATGTTGAAAAGGCATGGTGCTGGTCACTGTTCTCAGGGAGAAGACCTTTAGTCTCTTTGCATTGATGATGCTGTTGGCTCTTGGTTTTGCATATATACTTTTCATGATGTTGAAGAAGTTCCTCTCTATTCTCTATTTTGCTTAGAGTTTTAATCAGGAAGAGGTGTTGGATTTTATCTAAGATTTTTTGTGCATCAGTTGGCAGGATCATGTAGTTCTTATTCTTCACTTTGAACAATGTGATGAATTACATTAATAGTTTTTCTTATGTTGAACTATCCTTGCATACCTGTTATATATATATATATATACTGTTGGGTTCTATTGGCCAGAATTTTGTGAATGATTTTTTGTGTCTATATTCATGAGAGATACTGGTCTGTAGTTTTCTTTATTGGTAATGTTTTTGCCTGGTTTTGGTATCACAGTTATGCTTGCTTCATAGAATGACTCTGGGAGTGTTCCTTCTTTTTGTAATTTTTAAAAAATAAGTAGAATTTGTGCTAGTTTGTCCCTGGATGTTTGGTGGAATTCACCTGTGAGGCCATCCGGGCCAGGAATTTATTCTTTTAGGGAGTCGGTTTATGACATACCTGATTTCTTCTTTTGTGATGGATCTGCTCAAGCGTTCTACTTCTGACTGTGTCGATTTGGGTAGCTTTGATTTTCCAGAAATTTGTCTGTTTCCTCTTGGTTTTCAAATTTCTTGGAGGATAACCTTCTATAATATTCTGTTATTGCAATTTTAATTTTAACTATTTCTGTGGTGATGTCTCAATGCTATTATACATAGGTGCTGTTAAATCAGCACTGTCTCAGAGCTGACCCTTCTGTCAGTTTTCAGAGCCTATAAATCACATGGAAGGAAACTACCTGTTTTTCTCCCACAGAACACTTGATGGATTACATGCTTTCAGATTGGCAGTGCAGCCCCTTACCACTAAACCCAGATCGATTGGTTGTTTGATGCTGGGTATAGGAATGGAGCGTGGCTGTAATGGGTATGCAGTGACTTCCCCCCCCCCACTAGTTTATTTACATCATGCTTGGGAGGGTGGAGGGACGGCGCAGGAGGGTAAGACCCTCTATGAGGTGGATTGATTC